CTTGTCTGTGGGGGGAGAGGCGCCTAAACCTCTAGGCTATGGGACCCCATCCCTTGCACATTAAATTATTTTAGTTGAATTTATTCATTTTTTCTATAAACAATATGCTTGTTAGATAATAATTACTAATCAATTTTTTATATACAAAGTTAGAAAATATGGGGTTTTTGTCTTGAAAATCAAGTTTAAATCATATGATTTATTATGTCTTATAAGGTTATTTTCAAGTCAAAGACTCTATATGTTACTTGAATTTTAAATTCTTTAAATTCAGAGTTATTGACTATGAATTCATTTCTAGTTAAATTATTTTTAATATAAAATACAAAGTTTTTCTAATAGTTTTTACTTTTTATTTCATGTTCTGATATAAATAAATGTTTACATATATATTCAAGCAGATAATACTTTGCAAATTATAGTCAAGCTTCTGGTATTTTTAAATTACTAATATAGTTTAAGCCATATCCAAATAACATATATTAGATATAACTATTTTTTTTTTATTTCTTAAAAATATCTTAAATATTAAGTGAGTTATATAAATGCATTATATATCAAATATATTGTTTTATCTAATTAAAATAGTTTTATTTTATTTATTAAATTTTTATCTTCATGTATCTTAGCTGATTTCTTTTTTAAACAAAAAAATATAAATTTTAATATTATAAGCTGATGATTATCACTTTGGATTAGTTGGATCAAGCAAGTATTAGATAAAAAAATCTAAATCTTTTTCAGCTAATTACTAAAGATAGTAAAACTTAAGATTCATTAAAATATTATAAACTTGATATCAAATTCAGATACTTCTTAAAAAAATTGTATACTATGTAAAGCTAAAAAAAAAAAAATAATTTTTAATGTTATTATATCCGAATTCTCAGATAAAGATAAAGATAAGTTCCTAATTAAATTTGAATCTAATAATAAATCTAATATTGAGATTAGTAGATATGTATCAAAAGTAAAAAAGCATGGTTAGATTTCATCTTTAGAAATTTCTTCATATGCATTTATAATATTATTTAAACTACTATTCTCTATTTTAGATTTAGGCTAATGAAAAAATAAAAATTAATAAATAATATTTAGCTTATTTATGTAATTAGTTTTTATTAAAAAGCTTAAATGCTTTTGTTTGATTATATGATTGTTCTTTTCAATGAAAATTGATTATAGTATAGTTTTGCACTGAAGAGGCATGGTTATTAGAACTATGTTGAAGGGCTTAACTGGCAATTGTCATAGTCTTTGATAAATTCTTCACACTATTTAAAATGATTGCAAAAACTGTCTTCAATTTGTACAAATAGCTAGAAAGCAGTAGTTTACTAGTTTTAGAAAGAAATTTATCTTTTTTTAAAAATATATTAAATTATTTAACTTCTGGCTCACCTAAATCTCTTAATTGTTTAAAAGAAATCATATTTTAAATTCAAGTAAGAAGAAGTTTAGCCTGCTCTTTATTTTTTCTAACAATTTAAATACTTAAGGTATATTCTGTTAACCTTAGTTTTTTGTATATTCAGTTACCTACTATTAGATATGCACAAGTTTTAAATTTTAGCAAGACAGATGCAGAACATAATCATTATATCTGCTAAGGTCTGTTTATCAAATATATTAGACATGTCATACAAATTTAATAAAAAGTAATCTGGAAAATCAATTTCTTTATTTTTATATTGTTCTCTATACTCCTTTTGAATTTTGTTAAATGCACAGATTGTTTCTTTATTTAATATAGCAGAGATTATTTTTTTAAAAGCATTGAGTTTTTGCAACTCTCTTTGAAGCCTATTAAGGTGAGATGTAGTGATAATAGGGTTAAAAGACATTAAAGTTTTGGCTATCTTTTTGTTTCTTTTTCATCAAGATTATTCTATACCATTCTCTGAACTATCATTTCAACTGTCTTTCTGGTTCTAAAAGACCCACTTGGTATATATTAACTTCTTAGGCTTTTGAATCATTAAGAAAGAAGTTACTTGAATTATACTTCAACAAATTTTTTGGTTAAGAACTAATATGAATACCTACTTTTTGCTAAAATTATAGCTTTTTTGAAAATGCTGATAATTCTTATCTCTTTTTAGTTTATCTGTCAAAAGCTCAAATAATGCTAAGATGTGCTGGCTAAGTTCTTTATTATTTATATTTTTATTAAGTTTGTAGTCTGCAATGTATTTTGTTACAATTGCAGACATGATAATATAAATTGTAGAATAACTATTAGATTGTATGCAACTTTTAGGTTATATTATATCTGAGAAACTTTAATTTAAAAAAAATATTTAACTATATATAAACCCTGTTTATAATCGGTAAAAAATAACTAAATACAAAAGAAGTATGCTCTGATTAGAAAGAAGTTTATATTAATTTGAAATTTATAAGTAGATAATATAAACAAAAAAAATACATAGTTATTAAAAATGCTATTTCAAGACTATAAACAAATTTGGAGTCTAAGACCTATTTCATAACTGTATTTTAATAAAGTGCTCACACTAGAGCTAATATATATTTTGGTCTTAAAGCATTTGTCTTGATGAATGCATTATATAAAACACCTGGCCTATATTTTAAAAGGGCCAAATTCAGATAATGGAGAAATTTTACAAGTATGTTATTCCTTTAAACTTTTGTCACTTTACTTTTCTAGCATAATTTTAGTAGTTGACATAAAGTAAAATTGTACCAATTAGCTTTGAGCAAAATTTGCAATAGGCTTATTTTTTTATTAATTATCATTTACAAACTTTTTTCTAATATGATATCCTAAATACAATAGGAAATAAAAGAAAGATATCCTTTTAATATTGGTAATTTATATAAAGATAAAATTAAAAGCCTTTCTTCTTTCTAATATATATATTTTTTTTAAATATTAAAGTGAGTATATATGACTTAGGATTTTATTGGTAGTATTAGTTGGCCAGCATTTGTTAATATAATAGTACAGAGACAATCATAAAAAGAATGTACAACTAGCTATTTATACAACTAGCTACTTGTACAACTTTAGTTATTGTCTAATTTAAGTAGTTTGTCTGAAGGTTCTACACTAGTTGCTATACCTAGAACTCATCTGTAGAACCTCTATTTAAACACTTTGATCTTATATCTATCACATCCTATTAATGCCTCTAGTAAACTAATGAAGATATGCTATAGTCACTAAGTTATGTTTAACTTTGTACTAAACTTATTAGTGCATTCTGTATCTTATACTTACAGCTCACCTGGTATTGCTTTGGCCTAAACCATCACTTGCAGTTAGGGCTAACCATTAAACTGCTTTTACTTTTGTAAGTTTTATCCAAAACTCTGATATCCATCTTTCTGACATTCTCTTTATTGTCTTCTACTAACCACTACTTAGAACTGACAGGACTTCTCAGACTTCTAATCTGAATAGCCCAGTATGGTATATTTTAGTATTCTTTTTTTTTAGTAATTCTGGCAGCCTGGTTGGTTATATGCTCTTCTATACATCTTGCCATCTGGTTTATTCACCTATTCTTTTGAAGGTGTTTCATAGGCTTCTATCAGTCCGATAGCACTATCAAAAGTTTTGTGCTACTTTCTTACTCAGGATTTCCAAATAGGTTTCTGACTCTTCAGTTCTTTTGCTTTCTGTGCCTAGTAGTCTTATTGTAGGTTTGTACTGAAGTCTTATGCAATACTGGTTATTAATATTTCTCTATATAGATATAATATTACACTTGGCATAGATGATTCAAGCTTCTATTTGTAATAATGCAACTGAAGGTTACAAATATACTAATCCAACTAATCGACAGAGCCAGTTACCATAACACAGATCTATTTTTCAAAATTTATTATCTATGAGATTTGAACTCTAGATTTGCAATTTGGGAGTTGACAACCTGACCACTTTACTAGGTTGTCACATCCTTCTTTTTTCAATATATATAACTATCACATAATAATTTATAATATACTAACCTATTTATAATAATTATATGATTAGTTTTAGTACTATAAAAGTTTTTATAAACTTTTTCTATCAGTTAATCTAATGTATCTATAATATATATATGAAAAGATAATTTATCTCATTATAATATTGATTAATTTAAATACATATTTTATTATAAAACTAAAAGTAAAAAAGAGTTTTATATTCTAAAATACTTTTGCTTTAGCATCTTGATTATAAATCATATTATCTGCTCATATATCAAGAAGAATAGTACTATTTGTAGAAATAAGTGCTAACATCCTACAGAGTATTATAAGCATTAAATATTGTATGAAAAAAATGTGAAAAAAAACTTTACCTTGTTTGTGAATTTTCCATTGCTTCTACAATAGGGTGTTGCTCTAAACATTCTACTAAATTTCATTTATTCTATTACTAAATAAGGCAAAAATATAGGGTTGAGGCCTTTTAATTTAGAAAAACTTTTAAAATATTTGCCAAGAAGTGAGCAAAAAAAAAACATATATTTCAAATATGAAAGCTTTTGCAGAATTATTATATAAAATATTAGCTAAAGCCTTCATCTTAAAAGTATATATTCTGGCCAAGTATAGTATATTTATATTAATATTTCATCTAGTAAAAGCTCACTATAGCAATACCAAGTATCTTTTTTATTTACTTAGTAAATTTCTTTTTTTGTTTGGTATAAAGGAAATGCAAAAGCATCTTCACTATTATAAGATCCAACTAGATGATAATATCTACTATTTTTATCTATAATCTTAAATTTCAATTTATATATTGCATGCAGTGCTGAATTCAGTAAGCTAAGTTTTGTTTGAACTGTTTTTAATTCTGATTTTTTAGCACTGTATAATGCATCTGTATTATCAAATATTTGAACCATTTTTAGAACTAAATCCTAAAGATATGATATTGATTTAGAAGAATTAATATATACTTTAATATTATTAGCTTTATAATATGCTTTATTATTGATATCTTTAGTAAGTATATAATTTCTTAGTAACTCTAGACAAATTCAATATATCTTAGCCCAAATAGTAGTTGTAAGTTTATCTTCCCTATAATCTTTATAAGTGATAGTTTCAACAGCTATTTTATTGTTAATATTTACATTTTGCAATTGCCTATAAGCTTTAAACTATTTCATATAGTTGTAATTTCTATATTTTGAAATAAAATCTTTAGTCAATAATTTTGGCAAAATCTTATAACAATCTGCAACATAATATTAATCTAAAGAGCATATTTCTTTTAAAGTCTTTCTTAGTTTGTTTTTCAAAAATTCAGCAGTTTTATAATTTAGAATATTAGTATTAGTTATATTAAATACTTCTTCTGCTTTAACAATAAAACATTTTGCTTTTACTATTTGTAATAATGCACTTTCAGATTTAGAGCCAGATCCCATGATTGAAATACTCATATCAGCTTTTTGAAAACAATTAACTATTCTTTAACCAAATAACTACTAAGAATAAAATTTCTTTAACATGAATATTATTTATAATTGAATAGTTAGTATATTTTTATTTTGAATAATAAAATCAATATCTGAAAATATTCTTTTATTTTGAGGTTCTTAGAAAAGATATTTATGTTTGGCATTCAACAGTCATCAAAATAACTCTTCTTTTATAATAAGAACATTAAAAAATCTTAGTTCAATATAATATATATAATTTTTAATACATTATATATAGAATAGCATCTGATTTATTTTAGTATTTGTTTCTATATAGCTATTAAAAATACAGAATGCTCATTTGAACTTTGAATTAGTATACAATATTTCTATTTTTATAGTGCTAATATAAGCAACAAGGTTTATATTACTCTATGATTCTTTTATATTACTAAGTCATAAGCCTTTTCTACTGAATTAGATTTATCATAATATTTTTTGATTCTAATTTTGAAAAACTGATCTTGAGAGCATGAACAATTTCTTGCATATTCTCTTTAAGATGACAGATGAGTAATATACTTGTTTGATTCTCAAAAGATAGTGAAAATACTCCTCTAGCCTATTTTTAAAGCTTTGCTAACACAGTTTCTTTATTAGAAGCCAAACAGAATGTCTTGTCTTTCTGAGGCTAGTAAGTGTTATAAATAATTGAGAAAGGTATATTCTTGCAAAAAGCCTTAATCCATTTGATATTTAGGTTGGTAAGATTATTATTTATAACAATAATGTACTTTGCATCTTGGACAATTTATATAACTTCTTTATCAATTGTTTAACCAAATAACTTTGTGTTTAAGCAATTATAAACTCTATTTTATCAAGTCATAAATCATATTAACTTAGAGAACATTTATATTTTTATTGCACTTACAATTGTTAGTAATATGATATAAACTCTCTATCTGGCAAACTACCTTTTTGTAATCAAATAAATTTATATTATTATCAATATTACAATATGACTTAAGATTAAGTCTTATAGTAATGACATTTGAGTAAGAATAATATGTAGATAATACTAGCAAATTTATATTATTAGAAATAACAAATTTTTCAAAATTATATATTTTTTCTGTTTCTTAAGATAATTCTACATAAATATTACCTTTATGAGTAATAGTTTTACATATCTTTCTTCATATATTTTTGTTGCTATAAGGGCCTCATTATACTTGACCCAAAATGGCATTTTTATAAAGGTATTAGAAAAATCTAGGCCTTTTACCTTGCAAGAAACATGTAGTAAATTTTTATTTTCTTGCTGAATTTTTTTTGCAATAGATAGATCATATTTAAAAACTTTCTTAGATTTATCATTATTTTGCTGAAAACATTTTACAATAAATGCACTATAACTAGCATATACATAACCAAACTACTGCTAATCTTTGTTATATGAGGAGGTGTCAGTAGAAACCAAGCAAATTGTTTCTAAGTAAATTTTTTTTAAACTTTAAAGTAAAATATCTCAACAACTATCAAACCAAATTTGATAATTTTTTTTTTATTTTAATTTTATATAGTTATAGAATTAAAATAAAAAAAATTTTACCAAGTTTGGTTTGCTAGTTGTTGAGATATTTTAATTTAAAATTTTAAAAAAACATACTAAAAACAATTTGCTTGGTTTCTACTGACATCCCCCCATATATATATTTATATAGTAGGCATTTTAGTAGAGCCTTTTGGTTAAAATATATGAAGTTTTGTAAATTTCTTTCTTTGATATAGTTAGAATGCTTTTGTAAAACTAGTTTTGCACATTTTTGTAGTATATTCTGAACTATAATTATTCTTAGTGAATTATTATTTTTTTTTATACTAAGTACACAGGATCTTATTTCAAAACCCAAATTAGAAGATAGTTGAATTCTAGCATGATTGAGTTTATTTCATTTATTATCTAGTAAGAATTAAAGAATACATTTCATGTAACCCTTTTTTGTCAAATCAATAAGGCAAAAATTAAAATTTTGACCTGATAATCCTTAATTAATAAACTTATTATACTTTTTTCTAGTTAAGATATAGACTAATTCTGTGAATGTTTTAAGTTTATAATGATCAATAAGAAAAGCTGATGCATATGAAATATGAAAGCTACACTTACTAAAATCTAAAGATGTAACAAGTACTAATTCTTTGAAAATATCTTCTTAACTACAGTTAAAAATTTAATACAAAGCTTTTATAAAAGAAAAACAAATTTAAAAGAATACTTTTTGCCATTCAATATTGGCTGTTTTTATGTCTTTTTGCAAAGCATCAATATCAATTACAGCTTTTAAAAATTTTTGACCATTAATGCATTTATGAATCCTAGGTAAGCCATATATTTTTGACATATTATTTGCAATGGAAAACTTCAGAACCCAATTACCATCTTGATTAATTTTGATAACTAATTTATCTTTTACTTTATTTCAGTTATAAGCATTATATAAACTAGACCTTTTTTTATTTAGAAAAAAAATAAAAGGATTGAAAACCAATTTAATAAACCTTTATAATCTAATATATCTCTAGGCAGTAATAAGAAAAGGTACTGAATAGCATTTAGCAAGTCATTGAAAGAAAAATTATTATTAAACTTTTTTTGCCTTAAAGTATATATTATATTAGTTTTTGCTTTTTTATGTTTAGTAGCCAAACTGATAAAGGTTCAGTAATGCTAGTTGAGATGCAAGAAGCTTTTTTATTATCTAACTTATAATTAGACTTGTAGTTATTATAATTATCTAACTCTAAGTCAGATCTATTATCAATACAACTGTTTGAGTTACTTAAATATTCATTAGTCTTGGTGCTATCATAGCAAGAAAGAAGGCTAGTTCTAGTGTAATTAGTTTGGTTAAAAATAGTTGAGATATGCATGTTGTTAGTTTGAAAAGTTATAATAACTCTATAAAAATTAGAAATATTTAATTATTTTTTTGGTAGATGCAAAAAAAAGCAATAACAAACTTAGCTAACAAATCATAAAAGAAGACTATCTAGATATACAACTAAAAGTGAAGATAACTGCATAATTTATTATAAAAATATTAGCAGAAACCTTTATCTTGAATATCTTCTAAAGCAAGAAATAAGCATATTCTTAATAAGTGATACTTAGAGTAATCTTCTTTAGAAATATTATATAAAATAGAAAAAGACTACTTTATTATAGATATGTATCTGGATATAATAAGTAATGATATGTATCCAGATATGTATTTAGGCATATATGATATAAAGGCTTCTTCAAAATTATTATATAAAATATTAAAAGAAGCCTTTATGTAAACTTAGTTAGCAAAACATAAATGAAAAGTAAATGAATATATGTAATATATATTGAATACTTAAAGTAGATAAATGCAAAACTTATTATAAAAATATTGACACTTACCTACTCTATTACTAGTATAAACTAGGTATAGTTTAAAAGTAGGTAAATATAAAATCTTCTTATGAAGTAAGGACACTTGCCTACCATATTACAAGTAGCAGTCAATAGTATATATTCAGATATCTAGACATATATAATATAAAAGCTTCTGTAAAATCTATTATATAAATATTGACAGAAGCCTTCACATAAACTTAGTCAGCAAATTATAAATAAAGGCAAGTAGATATATATTCAAACATATATGGGCAAACTTGGATTGCAAATCATAAAAGAAAGACATCCAGATATATATTAAAAATGTATCTTTTTTGGAATCTTTATATAAAATAATAAAAAAAAATTACACTTTTCTAGATATAAATTCAAGTATTATAAAGCTTTGTATAAGATAGAAGTATACCAAAAAAAGATTTGAAGAAGAGTGACCTTATTACAAATATGACATTAGAAAAAAGCAAGTATGTAATTTATTATAAAAATTTTATTATAGTACTGGTCTCAATCTCTCAAACCATATATCTAAAAATCAGCTAGCACATTCTAGTAGTTAAATAACTCAGACATGATTCTTTAAAAGTTGCAAAAAAGTTATAAGAAGTATCCAGAACAAAAACACAATTAGATGTAGTAATTATGACTATTTAATATTGTATATATTTTTGTTTAGTTGTTATCTAATACTAAGCTTTTTGGTTTACTATTATACAATTCTTCTAACACTATATATATATCAGAAACTTAAGACACAGTAAATTAACAATTATTTTGGCCAGCACTATTTTATAATTTTAATCAGAACTTTGAATATAATAATTCAGCACCCAAGCTGAACTTTCAAATCACATGTCCAAAAGATTGATAGAAATTATAGTATAATAATAGCTAAAATTAACTATGAATTTATTGTACCATCTGATGTAATATTTTTTTACCACAATTTGGTATTTTGATAGGTAATTAAACAGGTATAAAAAGGTAAGCATCTTGATATAGAATTTGGCATCTAAACAGATACAGAGAAGCAGTAGATTTAGTATAAAACTTGGAATCAAAAGAGGTGCAAACAACTTGCATTTATTAAATAAAATCTGAGTTCTAATTAGATACAAACAACCTGTATCTACAATATAAAACTCAAGTTCTAATCAAGTACAAACAACTTACATCTACAATATAGACTCTGGGTTCCAATTAGATGCAGAAGGTTAGTATTAACAATATAAAATTAAGCTTGTAAATAACTTAAAAACAAGAATATAGATATAACTATCAGATCATAAAGTTATTACTAGATTAAGAATTATAACTACTATTAGTTTATTAAATTATTATCAAAATAAACTAACCCATAAAAGGTATAGCAAAAATAAATTAAAACAGTAGCTAAAAGACTATAAAGATAACTAATGAATAGATTGTAAGGCTACTACCAAATTACAAAATTATTATTAGGTTATATAATTAGATTATAAAATTATTATTAGGTTGTATAATTAGATTATAATATTACTATTAGATTATGAAGTTACTGTTATATTATAAAATCACT